TGTTTGGAATAGGGTTAGTGTAAAGCTTTGTTACGTTTTGTCATTCTGAGGCCAGCGATATAACCTCTTACGCAACATGCATGCGTACGCGTCTACTATCGTCAAGAAACAATCAATACGTATAATCGTTGTGGTCTGTGGGATCTTAATGAGATTTAATGACCTTGCAGTTTTAACACACATTAGCCGAATTCATATTAGAGACGGGAAACTCGTATTAGACGGGAAACTCGTCTTAAATTCGAATTTATCCGTCCCTAAATTCATATTCAGGCGGGTTTTCACGGACGAGTTTCCGTCTAAGACGAGTTTCTCGTCCCTAATATGAATCCGGCTATTCAAATATAAGGGCTGGTAACAGAGGAGGTACGACAAGCAATTAGCGAGTTGTCACGTGAGCTCTCAACCAATGAGATCGCTCTATTTTCCATCGTGTTATCTGCAGAATTTGGACAGAAAAATTTGCATTCGACAGAAAATAAATCGGAAAAAAATATTAATATTAAAATTTTCTTGCAAAATTTCAAGTGTAGTAGTACTACTGCTAAAGATCTGGTGATATCTGCAAAAATCTCTGAGGTAAATGTTATTTTCAATGTTATTTTTATGTTTGAAGTTACTCGACTCCTCGCGACGTGTTGACTCAAGTCTAAATATGTTTACAATGTTTAAAATGAAATATCTAGAATTCCCATGGTTCGATTTTCTTCATTTTTGGTAGTCGTCAAGACAAAAGTATAAGCTTTAAATCCGCTGGAATGATCCCGGTGATCCCCCGGCAGTTTTCGAGATATTGACCGTTGAAGTGACTATTGTCAACTCGACGTTCGCTAAAATGGCGTCTAATACCTTGGAAAGAAAATGCGCCATCAAAGATGATATTTTCAATGAATTTTTGTTAAAGTGTTAAAATATTATTTAGAAGACTTAGGAGTTGTCTTAATATTTTTTTAGAATTTATATCTGCGATTTTCAAAGTTTTGTTGTCTTTGGCCGACGCGACTGGATCGTGTACGTATTTCAAGACGAGCTGATCGCTTGATACTGTGGTTTTTGTGGCAAATCTATGGGCAAATCGAGCTGCGGAATCCTCAGCATGGACAAATCAGTGTCATAACAGCCCATTTCAAGCCAGCAGATAGCTTCACTTGTTTTAAGGCAATAAAATAAGTTTTTATGTATCATATAACAAATTAAGTGGCATGTTATTGTGGGATCTTTCTCTGCTGGCAGTGGTTTCTGAGCTGAAGTGGGATCTCTGATCAATTTAATAAATATTACATAAATAGACATCTTCTTGTTTTATTGTTGCATTAATTTTAATCTGAAAAAATACTCACAAAGTAGGTCAAGTGTATGAATAAATATTCATTTATTTACTAAAGTACATTTTTTACAGTTATTTATGTACTTAGTCTTATTTGCATGAGTGTACACGACAGATTGGTTTAATTAGATATACCCAGTTATTATTCATAACCTATGGTTTGTTTAAAAAATGCTGGAAAAAACTAAAAAAGTTAGCCAATTGAAATAAATGCACTAATAACTTGCTAAACATAGCTTGGTAGTTGCTATTTATTATATAAAAAATATCTGTCAACATACACTCATGCTTTTTCCTACCACTCGAGTCTCCACTCACCAGGGGCCGGTTGTTCAAAGCTGGGTTCGTTTAACCCATGGTTAACCTAAAATTCGAAGCAAACTTCCTGACAGCTTTTCTATAAATTTGGAAATATTTCTTCAGAGATCTTGTCTGGATCGATAGGAACCCACCTTTGAACAACCGGTCCCATCAACATCCACGACATCTCCTGCAGCAATTAGTGGGTGCAAATACTTGCATAGTTCAGAAGCAATATAACCAACATGTGTCCATACAGTTCCATAGTCTAGATCAATAGGCAATTCCAGCTTTTAATTTATGCATGCAGGGGGTGATGGGAAGTAAGGTATCATATTGCTGATTATGCTGAAAAATTTTAATAAACTACCTAAACAACCAAAATATTTCAATATTTACAAGAGCTATCTCTCCATGTTTACATGGCCACCATTTCTATTTTTTCAGCATTATCAGTAATATGATAGCTTACTTCCCATCACCCCCTGCATTCATAACCTAAAAGCTGGAATTGACCATTGCACTTGGGTCCCTTGGTCTGGTGCTGGCCATATTCTTACATTGAATTCACTGTTTTATCTTGTTCACGACAAGCAAGGTATTATGCCTTAATTTTCCAAATAATGTCAGTAGTTTTTCTCATGAGCAGCACTGATGCACTTGAATGGTACAGAGTGGGCGATTTCTTCCTCCCCATCACTTTCGTCTTCATCACTTAACTTGTCATCTCTTTCTGCCCTATCACCTTGATCACCTCTTCATTATCATATGAATCTTGAACAGGTTCAAGACCAGCCAACCACTCAAGTAAATCTCTTTCTACAAAATCATAACAAGGAAATTATTATTTGATACATATTTGTCATCTCTAAAATTAGCAAAAATATACAAACAGCAATATTTAGATGAAAATTTTAAAAAAATATTAAATTACAGTTTGCACATTTAAACAACCACCCACAACTAGATACAAACAGGCATCACACTCAGCAAAAATTTATAAAACCATACAAATAACTGAATAACAATATACCTTCAGACTCATCTGAGAACCAATGTTCATCATCTGAATGTTCATCATCAATTCTATTCGCTGTCAATATATGATCCACATCGAAATCCAAAATCAAAAGCATATGCTAGGTGTTTTCGTTAGCAAACTCATCAGGAGTAGGGTCAAACTAAAGGGTTAAATTATTAGAAATATTACGCCATAATTTGTACAGTGTATTTATAAAATTACAGTACAATATTGAAAGCAGCAAAGCGGAAATTTGACCAAATAACAAGTCAACTGTATTAAATGCATTGTAATATACTAACCTTAAATACTGCGCTTGTTTTCACGTTGATGATACACAGATATTTAACGCCATCCAACTTAGAAAGAAGGGCCTCGCTATTGGGAATATAAACACAATTCCTTCGCTTTGACAGACGGATTATTTATAAAGCTAAAATGACAGCACGTCCCATGCAATTTAATATAAGGTAAACTTGATATAGTAAAACACAAGTCATAATGAGGATCGCAACAATACAGCAATAACATGCTATTTTCTGCTAAGTGTTGCAGCTTGACAATCTTGTATTTCGAATGCTTCCATATTTGTTTACTCAGAGAGATGTTCACTCCACGACAGTCAAAGAGTCATTGAAGCCACGCCTGGAATTAGGTACTCAAACCCATGATGCTTTGCGGCCTGCTTGTCGAACCTCCTCTGGGCTGGTAAACATTATAAACGTTCATTTCATGTCACGCACGCTAATGCGCGAATCAAATCGAAACCTTGACATCCCCCCCCCCGGGCATACCTGGGGAATTTGCTTGTTTAGTATTTTAAGAAGGCGGGAATTTGACCTTTTTTTCTAGTGGAAGGTGGGGAATTTGAAGGGGGTCGGGAATTTGAATTTTTCGTTTAATTAAACACGTGTGCAGAATCCAAAATGGCGTCAATAATTAATGGATGAGTTCAAGGTCTTCAAGTGCAAAGGAATTAACTTTGTCCTTGGTTGGCTACAAGAAAACGGCTTTGAACGATTGAAGAGAGTTTTTGAAGGAAAGAAAAACTTGGAAATTCCAAAATTGCGAAATGCTGTAGCTTCCAATTCGTACATGGGGTGGGGAATTTGAACTCCAATTTTTCCCAATACGTGGTGTATTTGAACGGGAATTACAAATATATGTAGGGAATTTGACCTGACCAAAACGTCAAAATCCAAATTCCCGGGGGTATGCCCGGGGGGGGGATGTCAAGGTTTCGATTTGATTCGCGCATAACACCTGCTTAATAATTAACTTACGTCTTCGTAAACATTATAGTCAATACATAACGGTACATTAATTTAATAATATGGACAAAATGGAACAAAACCTCTGAAAACAGCAGTTGTAGTTCTAATTATTTTGGTAAATTTAGTAACAAATATAATCCCTAAACAGCTCATCGCTTTGTATGCTTGTTAGCGCTATTAAAAGTAGACAATATTGAACAGTGATCTGAAGTTATCATGCAACTAACAACAATATTATATCTCAAAATACCTGTATATGATGATATTTCACAAATATATCGGGATTTCTGGACCAATTTTAAACTTAGCAAGGCAAAAAGTCTCTATTCAAGAATATATCTTCTTATCAAAAGGTAAAATACTTAAAATACTTGATTAAATTGTTTACTTCGACGGTATGTAAATTAACAGCGTTTGACTTGCAAGACGTCAAAAACGGACGATTTCAACGCGCTGTCGTTTATCGCGTATTCATTTGCCCAAAGAAGTATTTACGTCAATTGAAAGCTTGTTTATTAAAGAGCCAACTAGTAGAAGCATGATCGATTTGGAGCTTTATCCCATGGTGAAAATCGGTTTTGTTAAGAGGGTATCGTAAATGAGGTAAGATAGTGTGCTCCAAAACTACGATTATTTCTATTCCTAAAAGTAACTCAGATTTCTTGTAAGTCACGTACCCGGTCCTTTGAATAACCGAAAACAAGAATTTTAGGGTTTTAGATCGATTAGAAACGGCTGTCGTCGTGAAATTTGTCGGTAAAATCAGCGCATATTTTCCCAGACAAAATGGCGATTTAGGGTGGTCGTGTTAAAACGGCATTTTCTCAAAGTTAAAAAAGCATTTGACCTAAAAAATATTTGGTGCATTTTCCGATATAATAAGGTATATCTGGGCAAAATTTGAGCAAAATCGATTTTTCCGTCGTGGCCGCCTTATGTTTGATTTTTGTGGACATCCTCTCTTAAGTTGACTAATTTAACACGCTGGCTTAGTTTCTCAAAGCGCAGAGGAGTAGTATACAGTACTCCTATCCATAAAAACAAAGACATGACATGTTTTTAGCACAAGCATGCAGTTATGAAGCCATTACCAAGCGAAATGATCTGCATTAACCTATAGCAACAATTCAGATAAATTGTTACACGACTGCAGCTGCAATATATTGCAATGGCACGCACGGCACGGCAAAATTTGTTACGACAAAAGTTAAATTTAGGCACGGTATGTTTAGTCTTAATCTATCTAATTCGAATGCGAGTATATACTTTTGAAAACTGCGCATTTAGTTATCTATGCTTTGTCCAGATTTACACTCATTTACACACGGCATGACTAGATCAAACACATATTTTTGCCCGGATAAAGTATATCTTGCATGCATCACCAAATCAAAGCAAAACATTTAGCGAACTCAGTCTACGCTGCCTTGAGAATAGTTAGTTTTACAAGTGTCTAGTTATTTGTTTATCAAGTCAAAGCTGAGTCTCGAAGGTTATGAACATTTAACGATTTGCACAAGATCGAAACTGAGTCACCCAGTTCCTGGTCCATAATAGGACGATCGTACTTGTTTACTTCAACCTGGTACGCAGGGGGAAAAAGGCGCTGGCTTCGGCTGGTCTGTTTTGCAACATGATTGGTCAATGATTTTGAATGTAATTATTCAATATATCTGGGAATAATTATTATTTTGGTAGTTCTTGAAGGACTAAGGTATTGAGTAAATAAGATTTTTGACATTTGGCTTGAGATACAGCCTAAATTAGGGAAGGACAATACATCAAAAAACAATTTGGTCCAAATTTAGACTGCGAGCAGTCCCTCCTTTCCGCGGGTTTAGATTTTCGGGCACGAGAAAGGAAAGGAGGTACTGCAGACAACACATTAAGAAATGAAATCCGCGTTGCCCACACAACGCAGAATCACCATTGGTCGAAATTGATACGCCTGTCAATCAAATCTGATATGTAGTAATTATGCTATAAATAATTTCCAGAGTGAATGTTGATTTTATACAGGGTGTGTCAAAATAAAAGTAATCAAACGTCAGCGCGCTATTGTGTCTGAATTACTGCGTATGCACGAGATTTTTCATCTTCGGAGAGATCAGGCTTTTAGCTGTTGAGTGATATGTTCTTCATGCCAAATGGATAAAAAATAAGCAAGTACGAGTCTGATAAAAAATGCTAGTCAGATCGCACATTTTCACCGTTGTAATATGCGATTCTGACTAACATTTTTTATCGGACTCGTACTTGCTTATTTTTTCTCCATTTGGCATGGAAACATGTCATTCAACAGCTAAAAGCCTCATCTTTTCGAATATGAAAAAAAATGTTCATACGCCGAGTAATTCAGGTACAATAGCTCGCTGAAGTTCGATTACCTTTTTTTATACACCCTGTAAATAAACATGACATTAACGGTTTCCTATTGGATAGATTTAATTGGATATAGTAATGTTTATGCAAAGGCGGAGCCAATTTGACAAGAGCGAAAAGTGGGCGTATTTCGTTTCTTGCTGTGTTGTCTGCGGTCCCTCATTTCTTCGAGGGACCACTCGCGGTCTAGTCCAAATTAAGTCTTTGTACATTTTGTATAGACGAGTATTTGCTTCGGTTCAACATACATTTCTCACATGCGTTGTTTACCCATCGTTGATTTCAAGGAACGTACAGCGTTGTAGTCAAATAAAGATTGCGATACGAATATATTTGCTCATAACACGATTTATATAAACCAAACGCTTAAGCGGTTTTGTTTAGTTATTCATTAAGAATTGATTCACAAGATAACCAGGCACCGAATATGTTTAACTCATCAATATTACGGGCTATGTTTGAATATGTTGCTGAATGAGGTGTAAACAACGAAAACTGAATAAAGTCAACTTATTTTGTTGCTTTCTCTTTGATTTTATACGCAGCATTGAGTTTGTTTACTCCTGTCAGTAATTACAATACATGTATATACATGTATTATCATAATTGACACCCCAAATACTGGAGATTTTGAGGTCATGACCGCTGACCGGAAGCAAAATGCCCTTGGTACGAGGTTGCATGGCCATGCTTATAATAATTGACAAGGTTGGCCATACTCACAATAATAGAAATAATATATTCTG